AATCTCATATATATATAAGATTGTTTTTTAAAAAACTAAGAAATAGAAGGATGATTGTAGAAGATGAAAGAATGTAGGGCGATGCTTCCCTGTACCTGAACATGCCTCAACCACCTATGTCACTGAAATACCAGACAAATACACGTCTTTACATGAACATATCACAACTAGCCACATGGAGAAAATCCCATGTGGGATTTAAATTATTCCAACTTGAAAAAAATAGAAGTCGTCCCAGTGACAGAGAAAAAAAAGCCACTTTTGGAGCAAAAACAGCTGGACTGATTAAAATCAACCCCTGTACAGAGCAATGAATCCATATACTGTAACATCATTTTCAAAATATAGTTTCACCACCACCCAGCTTGGGAAGTACAGCAGCCTTTTACAGTAATTAATTTATTCAATCTCCATCATGAGACTGGGCCTAAAATACAGGCCTCCTGGTTACAACATCAGGTCCGCTTGCACACCAATCCATCCAATATACTCCTCCAATTATGGTAAACACTACTCTGGATGATTTACATCCAGAGAGAAACATAATACAGTGGTGCCTCACATTATGATGTTAATTCTTTCCAGCGAAATCGCTGTAGAACAAAAACATCGTAAAGCAAAATTAAAAAGCCCATAGAAACGCATTAATCCCCGATTAATGTGTTCCTATGGGCTTGAAACTCAACGTCCAGCGCAGATCCTCCATAGCGCAGCCATTTTCACTGCCCGTGCAGCGAGGAATCCATCCCAGAAAAGAGCAGGGAGCTATTTTTTTTTACCCAGCGGCCATTTTGAAACCGCCGATCAGCTGGCCGAAAATCGTCGTTTTGCAAAAATCGGTTCCCAAAGCAGGGAACCGATCATCGCAAAGCGAAATTCCCCCATAGGAAACATCGTTTTGCAATCGCTTTTGCGATCGCAAAAACTTCGTCGTGATGCGATCTCGTTAAACTGGGCGCTCGTCTTGCGAGGCACCACTGTATAAAATAAATCTAAATATAATAAGAAACAAACACACATATAATCAATAGAGCTGTTATCAAAAAAATCAAGAGAAAATTGAACCATGACAAACAAACAATATAAAATTAGTTGGTCACTACTACATGAAGGGGATGTGGTGGCGCTGCAGGTTAAACTGCAGAAGCCTCTGTGCTGCAAGGTCAGAAGACCAGCCGTCGTAAGATCGAATCCACGCGACTGAGTGAGCGCCCGTCACTTGTCCCAGCTCCTGACAACCTAGCAGGTTGAAAGCATGTAAATACGAGTACATAAACTGGTACCATCTCGGTGGGAAGGTAACGTCGTTCCATGTCGTCGCACTGGCCACATGACCACTGTACATGAAGAGAGGATGCTCTCAAAGGCTTCAGTAAACAGCCTTGTTTTAAGCACCTTTTGAATGCTCTGAGGGAAGGGGGCAAATGTAGCTCCACCAGAAGCCCATTCCACAGGGATGAGGCCTCAACTGAGAAGGCCCTGTTTCTAGTTGAAGACTTCCTGGCCTCCTCGGCATGGCAACCTGGAGGAGCATAACTGAGAGGATCGGGTGGTGCAGGTGGATGTTTTTAAGGAAAGACCATTTAGGAGATGCTCCTGTTCTTCCTAATTTCCCTCATGGAGAATCCCAGACAACTCAAAGAGCATGCAGTTTTTGTATGTGTGTGTCACTTGGTTTTGTTCCAGCAAAAGTATTGCCCAACTGTGGATTTTTATCTCTTTCACATTTTTCTGAAAACAGTTTGCTTCCTGTTTGTAAGGCTCGATTTGAATGCCAAGAAAGTTCATTCCTCCCTTTGTTGATGCCTGAAATACGTTCCTCTCGGTCTTTGATACAAAAAGTTGTCACCACAACGATTCTAGCACCCAGGATATAAAATTAAGGTGTGTTTAATTTTAGACCAAACTCTTCCTTAAAGAGATCAGATGGGGAAGAAGTTAATGCTTAGTCAAAGAAAGGGAAAGAGATTTCAAGTGCAAATAATAACTCACAATCATTCACTCACTGAGTTGGCAACAAGGGCACATTTATAGTTAGTTAGTTAATTAGTTAGTTAGTTAGTTAGTTAGTTAGTTAGTTAGTTAGTTAGTTAGTTAGTTAGTTAGTTAGTTAGTTAGTTAGTTGATTTATATCCCACACCATCTGGCAGTCGGGCCACTCTGGGTGGCTAACAACAACAAGACAAACAACACAATATTAAAACACAATAAGAATAAAATAATATAAACATTAACAGATACAATAACTAGTAGGATAAATTAAAACAGATAGCTATAAAGATGGTAAAAAGGATGAGGAAAGGGAAGCAGAGAAGGGGCATCTCATGTCCAATGGGCATTCCTGAGTGTGATGTCACAGAGGTGAGGCAGGCAAAGGCTGAGAGTAAGCGTCAAAACAGTTTCTGTTTATCTGAATGCCAGGCATGAGGAGAACCCAATTAAATGGGCGTAGCATTTAGATAAAACCCAGTTGCCTAATTAAGATGATGGAATGATTCATTCTTGGTTACTGCTGGGGCTTATATGAGGTTCAGAGCCAGCCCAAAGGATCTCCACCCTGCAAACCCATGTGGCTGCTGCTGTGACATACCCAACAAGAAGCTTCATGAGTCACAATAATGATGCTCCACCTCCTTCTTTGTCCCAATAAGTGCAAAACATCATATAATGTTCTCTACCTTTCATGTTTATCCTCACAGCTGTCCACTTTTTTTGACTTTATCCTCACAGCAGCCTGAGAGATTGGCCGTGCTGAGAGAGTGACTAGCTTACCCATCACTCAATGAGCTTTGTGGCTAAATGATTTTAGCTCAGGTCTCCATGATCCTAGTATACATCAAGTAGTATATTACAAATTTTCCCTGTTTTCAAAGAAAGACCATATACTATGTTCATCTGGCTACAGCCAAAATGGCTAATGGCGATCAATTCTATGAGTTAGAACTCAACATCTGGAGGACAGGTGCCCATTCCTGACAGCTGGACAGAAATGATTCATTTAAGAGAAACAAAATAAGCATTTAATTGGAAAGTGGGGGTGGCTGTTTCTGTACATATTTCTGTTTCCATGTTGACTTTCATTGAACATTGGTCTTTTCATCATACTTTTGTCTAGCTGCAATGGTAACTTTTCTACTGATCATTTTTAAAGGAATACAACGTGTTACCTATATGGTAATGTATGTATGCCCAAGGAGCAATAATGGATATTGTACATATGTCCATGGGGCAAGAAGTTGTAGTCACATGCAAGCTGCTTTTGAACATTTCAAAAGGAGCTTCTCATACAGCTCAAGGGGCCATATTCATCATGTGAGAGGGGGAAATGGCACAACAGCCATATTATTTTAAACTCATTGTATGATTTTATACTATTTATATTGTTTGAAGCACAACATTATAAACCCAATGGTTTCCAAACTTATCCCCAGAAGGCATGTTTGCCATGTTGACCTGGCTATTGAGCAACCACCACCCAAAGCACTCTTTGTATTTATTTTGACCCACTACGACCTGCCATGGATTCCAGTTTTTGGAAAAAGTAAGGTATACATTAATGAAATAATTAATATAAAAACAGTAAAATTAAATAGACTGTAACAGTGGTTCTTAAGCTTTGGTTCCCCCAGATGTTTTGGACTACAACTTCCAGATGCCTATAAGGCATGGCCAGTGGTGAGGGATTCTGGGACAGAAACATATAGAGAAGCAAAGTTGAGAACCACCATACTCGGCCACTTACATTAGGCCTCAACTCGGGTCTGTTAAGCCACACAAGACCCTTCATATGAACTGAATCTGTAACTCACTGGACACTCAGCATCCCCTCCATGTGTATATTTTTGAAGTGATCGTCATTAAAACAGTCACAGTATCATTCCAGCTCTCCTGAAAGAAATTTATGTAGTTCCTGAACTTCTGGCTGGTCAGCCACATCGAGAACAGTTTAGAAAAAAATACATTGTTCCAGCCTGCCTTACAGATTTCAAACTTCCTTTCTAGAGTAACTGAAAATGATGTCCACATTTACCGCTTGCCAACACTGCATGGGTGATGACAGGCCTCCATAACGGATCCAATACAGTCAACCCTCCCTCAGGGCTGAGAGCAAGGCCTGTTTGCAACGCCCTCTGTTAAAACTAAGACAGACGGCACTCTGCACATGTTCAGCCGCACTGTCACCAAGTGTACGGTTAAGTTTTAAAAACTAAATTAGAAGGGGCACATTATAAAAAGGCAGCTGAAGGCGCAGAAACCAAGTGAAGCTGGAGAACGGATGTATGAATTGTATGAATGCTTTGAGATCGAGAAAAACACTGCAGAAACATAATAAAATCAGCATCTCATGGGAGGAGCGAAACGCTAACAAATCTGAGAAGAAGGCCAGGGACAAAGAGGAATGGGGCTTCTTCACCTGAGGTACATATGGGAGCAGAAACATGCAGCAGGAAAGATGAAGCTACCTTGGCCAAAAGAGCGGCCTTCCTTGGAAAAGAGC